GCTTGCTGTTCAGTATCTTCCATACCCGAACTGTTCGTGTTCTGAGCAAAATTCTTTACACCGGTGCTCTCCGGCTATACAAATTGATTCCCGACCCTTCTGGCCACTGTTTATGTCCCCGTCCCTGACGGACCTTGTTCTAGCTAAGGTTGTTCAACAACATCCGGCTGGTCGTCAAGCCACCCAATAGATTCTACTGACTCATCAAACCAATTGACTGCCACGTCCCCTGAGTCCTGCTCGTCAAAAAACTGAAGGTTAGCAATGTCCTCTTCCAGATTCGCTAGGTCATCTAGCCCCTGATTAGGTCCATTCTCTCGTACCACACAAATCTCTGCCCCCACTGGCAATTTCATTCTCAACCTAGCCTGGCCTGCTGATGTAATGTAACTGCTCAGGTCATTCATGTCGCTCTCAGGCCCCTCAGGCTCCATATAATTACTCTCATCTGCTCCAGTAGTCGACCCAGTTCCATCTTCGATAGCCACCACCACTGTTTCGAGTTGGGATCGGGAGATGTCCAACATGCACAAGTTAGTGCTGTCAGGAATGAACACCTCTGGCTTGGGTAGGTGAGAAGAGGTGATATATATGCTAGGGTCGTATGACACAATCCCAGTTTGGATAAGATTGATACGTTTGGCAGGTGGAGCTTGGTTATGTGGTGGGAGAGGGTTGGTTGTGACATTCGGTTTCTTCGGAGGCACGATCACCCTATTGTCAATGAGATCCTGAATCTCATGACGCAATCGAAAGCACTGGTTGGTGTCATGACCATGCTGTTGGTAAAAGGTGCAGTACTTAGTTGGGTTATGGGAAGCAGGGAGTTAATCTGGTAGTGGCCGCGGCTCTAGGGGCTTCAAGTGCCCTTTCCTGATCAAAACCCCCCAAAGCTTTGGACAGGGGCATGTATAGTGGAGTGAAGGTTCTTTGGCCTCGAGGTGAATACTTGGTTGTTTGTGAGCTACTTCTGGATGCACCAATGAATGGCGTAGCTACAAGGGTTCTTGGAGTGGTGGTGGTGACCATGCGCACATCTGAAGATCTGGCAGCAGCAACACTGCTTATGCCTACATTTGTACCGTGGTTGAATGCCCTCTTAGGCTATTCTCTGTCATGGTCAATCAGACCTTGTTTCATAGCGTCCTCGATCTGCACCCCTATCTCATGTAAATCCGCAAAGGTGGGGAGGGGGAGAACGATCATCTTCTGTATGAGCTTGGGCTGGAGGTTGCGCACAACCATCCGAATCTGATCTTTGTCAAAGGGCCTGATGGTCATCATCGAGGCCTTGGCCCTCCAACGGGTTATGAAATCGGAGAAACTCTCCTTCGGCTCCTGCGTAGTTGTCTCAAGATCATGGGTTGTGACCTTGATCTGTGTATTGTAGCAGTATTGAGCTATGAAGGCCTCGACCATCTCCTCACAGTTCCTCTTAATAGAGTCCTCCAGCTTTGCATACCAAATAGCCTCTACACCTGACAGGGTCCGGCTAAACAAGGAAAGCTTCTACAATCTGGAGAGGCCCAACAGCCTTAGTATGTCCGAGAACAGCTGCAAATGCACCATAGAATCTCCAGACCCGTCGAAACGGTCTATGTGCGGCATTTTAAATTGGTCCGGCAGAGTCACGGCCGAGTCAGTATACCCATCTTCAATATCCGGAATGGACTTCACACCCTGAAACTTCTTGAACATCTTTTCTAGCTTGCTCACTTTTAACGCTGTGGGGTCCACCTCGAACTCAAAAGGAGAATCTGGTAGGTTGGTCTGTGCTTTGGATAGCTGGGGTAGGATCGAGGGCGAAGCCGACCCAATTGGGATGTCCGTATCATCCTAGACGTTAGCTGTCTCCCCGAGTATGAGAACTCTTGGTGGGGGAGGAACCTGGTGCGAAGTAGATGCTCTAGTTTGCTGCTGTAGCCTGATAATTACCTCTGCATGTTGGGTCATAACCTCGGCCTGGCGTGTGGCAAATTCTGTTTGACGGGCAGCGTCCTGCTACATGGTTTTCATACTCTCCTGGAGCTGACGCATCATCTCCTCCAAGCCTGCCATATTGTGCTGATCTAATTGAATAACTAGTATATCTGTCCCTATAATAGAAACTGAGACCTCAGCCTGACTGTTTACTAGTGTGGTAGACCACTGATCTGGCGACCGCTGTACCGATACACTGCGCCATTTTGACCTCCGTCCGGTAACCGGGGGTAAAGAAAGGAACACTGCTTGTCCGTCTATCAGATCCCTAGATTGATTGAGTCTACGACCTCTAACCCAGAGTGCTCGGGGAATATCTATCTAGTCAGATGTAATGGTGCTAAACTACCTTGCAAAAAGATAAATAAAGCATAATAAGGAAATAAAATGACCAGAAAAACAGACAGCATAACAGCTTAAATAAAGACAACACACAGTTGGCAAGCACAAGCTGAATGAACTGTTCTCAACCACTGATCACTGTCCCGAATCTGAATCTGATACCGAAGATATAACTGATTCTTAAATACTGATGTCTGCAGGCTTGATACCAGACTTGCAAACTGATACATGCATTCCTGTAAAGACACACTCTAAAAGTACGTAGCAAGCAAATGAGAGTCAAAACACCCCTATGTTGGGGTAGGGTTTCCCAGTCCTATTGTGTCAAGAACTAGGGTTTCACTACGCACATAGCGGTTTCAAATAACCTATAATCGGGTAAGCAACCTGTCCTAGTTTGGAATAGTCACTATGGATTCCGATATGCACTAGGTCGAATGGTAAAAAATGGTGTCTCGGTAAAAACAGGGGTTTGTGTTCCCGTCGTGGCAGAGCCCGCAACCGGTCAGCCTTATGGCACACTTCTCAAAGCAAGCCTCCGACAAACCGTTCAGGAATAGCATACGGCAAACACGGTGTCCTAAGCGCACCAATGCAAATGCAATGCAAAGAGACACATAAGTGTAAACAAAACAAGATATCATGAGTTCGAGTCAAGTTCTCTGACTCTTCAGCAGAGTCGCCAGAAACTGTGGACGTGCCCCGAGAACTCCCGAAGCTCCGCGCTTGCGAAGGCACGGAATCTCATTTGTTCTCTAGCTACTCCAGTTCGGACTCAATGTCACGGTTCTGAATCTAATCTCACAATGTGCGATGCAAGACCGATAAATCACCAAATAGTCCAAATCCGACAAATCATTTTGGAAAACTGATTTTTGTAAAGAAGTGCCAAACATGAACTGCTTTGCCTTGTATTTTCCTTTCCTTTTCCAAATCCCTACCCAATCCATGATCCAAATACAACTTAAATATATGATTGATTTCAACTTGACTTTTGTTAAATGGAAAACCCAGAAATTATGTATATCAAAAGATGAGAAAAAGAAGTTATTGAGTGATAATCTGGGAGTAACAATGTATGTAGCATATGTATAAGAATATGTGGATATTCATAAATCTATTGATATTCATCCATTAATATCTTTAAAAAAATAAAATAAATTAAATTAAAAGGAAATTGAGAAAGCATGAATTCGAAAAACATAATCAACAATATTCAAACAATTTCAATTCTGTTATATCCTGAAAGCGATTCATATTCAAAACAGTTATACAGATTGGGGACACAGCTATGTTCATTTCTTTGATAAAACTATCAAAAGATTAACTAATGAGAGTCGAAATGCAGAGAACTTCACTTTTGTGAGATTATTCAAAGAAGTAGATTAAATGAACTTGATCTTCTTGAAGAAAACTGTAAAGTGATTGAATCCAAACATATGTATTGAAATGTGGATATCTTGATCAAGGATTTAACAAAAACACATCAGAAAATTTAAAGTAAGAAAGCGAACTGTATAAGTAGAGAGAGTGATTACTTGATGAAATTGCTCTGTATAAGCAGAGAGAGAGTGATTACACCATTAGAAGATATTGAAACTGATTTAGAACTACTGTGTAGTTTGGAAACGTGGGGGTGGTAGAATTGGTTGGTTTGAATTCATCATGTTACCCTTAACTACAAATTGATGTTAGTGTAAAAATAATGTAATTATTTAAGAAGTTATGGCCATTTTAGAAAAAATGAAAAAAATTTCTAAAAGAGACTTCAGGAAACCAAAGTTCCTGTTGGCTTTTAATAATAATATAGATAATAATATTTGTTACTAATTTGAAAATATTTTTTTATATCTCTATTGTCGTGTAATTTTTTCATTAATATAAATAAATAAATAAATAAATAGTTCAATTTTCTAAAATGATGAAAAGACTTGGGCTCTATTTGATTTAATTTTTAAAAACAATTTTAAATTTTTAAAAAAGAGTTCTTAAAATAGTTTAGAAAAAAGGTTCTTGAGTTTTTGAAAATAATTGTAGAATAATTTTTAATTTTAATTTTTTTTTTAAAAAAAATTAATAGATAAGTGAAACCAATTTCAAGATTTAAGGCTTATTTTAAAGGTTGTTTGGGATGACTTAAATAAGTACATTTTTTGTCTTTTTACGAAAAGATGTGCAGAAAAATAAAAAGATGATGTGATAGAAAAAAGATAAAAAATGTGTACTTATTTAGAATAGTCAAACTTAACCATAGTTTGATTTAACTAATAGATGAGTGAAAAATAGAATAGTTTTTAATTTTAATTTTTTTTTTTAAAAAAATTAATAGATAAGTGAAACCAATTTCAAGATTTAAGGCTTATTTTAAAGGTTGCTTGGATGACTTAAATAAGTACATTTTTTGTCTTTTTACGAAAAGATGTGGAGAAAAGTAAAAAGATGATGTGATAGAAAAAAGATAAAAAGTGTGTACTTATTTAGAATAGTCAAACTTGGCCATAATTTGATTTAACTAATAGATGAGTGAAAAAAATTGATTGATTGATGTATAAAATATGAGAAAAATAAGAGAGATTAAAAAAAATGATTGATTGATTTATTAATAAATAAATAAATAAAGTGAAAAAAGAGAGAAAATAATTTTAAAAATTAATAAATCAAACATTTAAAATTTTTGATCTAAATATTAATTTAAAAACTAAATTAAATGATACCCAAGTTATTGGACGCCCCATTTACCAACTCCACCGCCACCTAAACCCTCATTCCCAAAGCGACCCCATTGTCATGAACCTCGTATATCCCCATTAACGTCATCTCCTTACCATGCATATTAACTAACATATTACAACTAATTAATTAGTAACTTTCTTCATCTACTCCATAGATTAAAAATTTATATATAAAAATTATAAATTTAAAAAAAAAAGAAAAAAGAAACGTAGCCCACGAATATTTACTCTAGCCCCGGTTGCAAAATCTGGCAGGAAAGCATATACACGTGGCACATATCCCGCGACTCTGTTGATCAGAAGTAGTCAAAGACCGTTGATTGAGGCATTCGGCCACCGACATTAGTTCGTGGAAGGGACGTCGTCGTTTTGTGTATCCGGATACCACCTCCTGGAATATCTGGGGGGGTGAGGGAGCGTACGAGAGCAAAGTTTAAGCCCTTGAAAAACGGGTGGGTCTTGACTTCTGCTGCACCGCGCATAGCCCCGATCCGACCCGAAGGGTCTTTGACCAACAACCTGGAGATCAAGTGACGCGCGTGCAATTCAGAGGTGCTGGCAGGAGAGTCAGTTGGGAAGGACAGTGGTTTTTTCACAATGTTACGCAGCGTAGCTTCGTTAGTCTCCGCACAGAATGGTGTTCGTCCGTATATCATCTCGTAGATGAAAATCCCAAGGGCCCACCAGTCCACAGCGTTCCCGTGGGACCTACCTGCCGCAACCTCCGGGGCCACATACTCGTGGGTTCCCACGAACGAGCATGACCGGGCGCTGACCGGCTCCGCCACGAACAGCCGGTTTGTTGTCAGCGTCTGGATTTTCTTTGATCGGAACAACAGACGCTTCGAGAGGCATGAAAATGGGGTGGTGGGTGCACGGGGAGATTGTGTGAACCTCATACAGTCTGCTGCTGCTGCTGCTGGGTCGTCCGGAGAGGAGTCCGGAGATTCAACGGCTGGGATTGCATCTGAGCAGAGCGAGAGGTCGAAATCAGAGAGCATGATGTGACCGTCTGATCTGACAAACACGTTCTCCGGCTTCAGGTCTCTATAAATGATTCCCAGCATGTGAAGGTACTCTAGAGCTACGAGAACCTCGGCCGCATAGAACCTGGAAAATGCAAAGATGGTTTCATTTTCAATTTCAATTTTTCTCTGGAACCAAACAAAAACCAGTAACTTCATCAACCAAACGACGTCACAAGGAAAGAAATATATAATATTATAAGAACATGGCCAGAGAAAAAATAAAAATAAAGAAATAAAAATCTGATTAAATCTTTTGATTACTTGCATGAAAGGATAAAAAGCCCAAAATGAAAGAAATGCCTGATTTGGTAAATTCGACTCACAACCATAACGAAAGTGTTAGTGTATATTAGTGTATCATTATGTAGTGCATTATCATGTTAGTGTAGCATTATGTTAGTGCATTATGTTAGTGTAGCATTATCATGTTAGTGTAGCATTATGTTAGTGCATTATGTTAGTGTAGCATTATGTTAGTGCATTATGTTAGTGTAGCATTATGTTATTGTTCATAGGCATCCAAGGCATCCTCTATAAATAGAGTGCCTTCTTTGTGTAATAGATATGTACAATTCATAGAAACAATTGTGCCTCTCTCTCTCTCTCTCTCTCTATTCGCTCATCTCTATCTTCTCTCACTTTCTCCAATTATTATTTCAGAAAGAATTCTAATAACAGTGAATTTTCATTGCGGCTAAAATTACAGCAATTTTTCGAGGAAATGAATTGACTAGAAAGAAAGTGAGCAAAAATTAAATGGAATATCCATTAGAAGAGAAGTAGACTTTTGCAGAGCTGAAATAGACATAACGATTACTGATAGGAACATATGATATGAGGCTTTCTTTTTTTTTTTCTTTTTCTTTTTTCCCAGAAGACAAACAAAACCCAGAGAATCCATTAAAAAATAAATAAATAAAATCTAGACAGCCCTTTTCAAGTGACATATATGTATATATATATTATATAACAGAGTAGAGAGAGAAAATTGATTGTTGTCCATGAAAAATGTACCTTGCGGAGCTCAAAGAGAAGCGTTTGTAGGGTTGTTTATGTCTGAGAGAATGCAAATCACCACCGGAACAGTACTCCATCACTACGCAAGAGAAATGGGAGGCTTCAAACTCGGCGTAGAGCGTAGGCAAGAAGGGGTGGTCCAGCATCTTCAGAATCTTCTTCTCCATCTCCGCCCTCTGAATCTTCTTCTTCACGGCCAAGACCTCTCTATCCACCACTTTCATGGCGTAGAAGCCGCCGCCGCCGCTGCGGAGGCGGCATAGGAAGACCCTCCCGATGTCGCCGCTCCCGATTTGGCGTACAAGGCCGAAGTCCCTGAAACCCAGCCCCGCCTTCCTCCGAAACGTCAACGATCGTATGGCCTGCCACGACGAGTCCGACGATCGGTGTGGCTTCAGCGACAGATTCTCCGGCGACTCCGATCTCAGTTCCAGATTTTCAAAGGACAATCGGCTGAAACTAACGCAACTGTCACTTCTACTCATCGAGCTCTGGCTTGAATTTAGGGTTTCGGAACTGACTTCACTGTCTGAGTTCCGTGGAATATCTAACATTGTACAAAACCAAAACTCCTGAAACTCCCCTATTTCCGACTTTCTATCCCGGGCTTTATTCCAAGCTGTGCTCGGTTGCTTTTACAGACGATCGATGTATATTAAGTACAAAGAACTCGAATATAATCTATTTGAACAAGTTCTCAAAAACGTCAAGAATGGTTGGAAACAGTTGGATTTGAACCTTTTTTCGACATCATTTTTGGAATCAGATACGAAAAAATGCTAGTGATTGCGACAACAGAGAACGAGTGAACAGTAACTCAATGGAGAGAGAGAGAGAGAGAGAAAATAAGGTACAAGAATCAATTACAGTAACTCAATGGAGAGAGACCACCGGTTGGACCGCCATAAATGGACCTTTAACAAAAAGCTTTCGTTGTTGAATGCACTGAACAGAAAATTAGGCTTCCGTACAGATTTCACAGAGGGAGAGGCGCAGCAGTCGTCTTCTCTGGTGTTTATGGTTTGAGAGAGAGAGAGAGAGAGAGAGAGAGGCAGGCTAGGAGGAGAGGGGTTGGGACTTGGGGCGAAGGTAGTAGTTGGAGGGTATTTATGCAACGTCGTACGAAGGTAAATTATTGAGTTTTTAATCGCGGTTAATAGTCTAATTTAGGAGAGGTTATTCGTTGGCCTGGTGTACAGCGCGTGATATACTAGTGTGTTTTTGATCGATAGAAACAGTGGTGGAACTGACGATTTTATGCCGAAGTGGATTCGCTTTTTAATTTTTTAGTTTTTTTTGTTATTTTAATTTAGAGTTAAAAAATTTGGTTTGAAAAGAATTTTTTAATTTTTTTGAATTTTTTTTGTAAAAAAAGAGTGTAATAATTATGGATTGGATTTGATATTTTATTTTTTGTGGCTAAAATAGCCTATTTTATTTTTGAAAAATGTCTAAGGCCCCCTTTTTTTCCCACCCCCTTTGACCCCCTCTCTTTCTTATTGGTTGGATTTTCTTTTTCTTTTTTTTTGTTTCCCTTGTTCTCCAATCACCACCTACCACATGTGTGTGGAGGTGGTGGGGGTGGTGATTGGAGGGGGTCTCAATCACTCATTTTTATTTTTTGTGACTATTTTAGCCCCTAACCCACCAAAACCAACTTCCCAAACTATGCCTATATATTGAATGGTTGAAACATATAAGGCTGTGTGTGGTAACGTTTACGTTTTCAGTTTATATTTATAAAAATTTTATAAATTGATTTTTGTTTATTTTTTGTTTATATTTAGAAAAACATAAACTACAAACGCATTTGGTAATTGACAAAATGTTTAAAAAAATATAAAAAAGAGTGAGAAATGGCAAGTGATGGCAAGTGGCGGCGGAAGACGATGGTGGAAAGTGGTGATGGTGGGTAGTGGGTAGCTGGTAGTGGCGGGTGGTGGATGGTGGTGACAGGTGGGTGGCAGATGGCAGGTGGTGGTGGCGGGGAGGTGGCGGGTAGGGGTAGTGGGTGGTGCGTGGTGGTGGTGATTTGTGGCGGGTGGTGCTGGCAAGGTCGGGTGGCGGATGCGTTGGTTTGTAGGTGGGTGACGGCGGCGGGTGTGGTGGTTGTGGGTGGGTGGTACGGTGGCGGGGATGAATGGCAGTGACTGGGTGGTGGTGGGTGGGTGGGTGGGTGGGTGTGACGGTGGCTGGGTGGGTGATGGTGGCTGGTGATGGCTGGGTGCGAGTGGGTGGTGGCGGTTGGTAGGTGGTGGTGGTGGTGGTAGTGGTGGTGGGTGGTGGTGGCGGGTGGGTGACAGGTGGCTGGTGGTAGTGGGTGGCTGGTGGTGAATGGTGGTGGCAAGTGGGTGGTGAGTGGTGGTGGCAAGTAAGTGGCGAGTGGTGGTGGCGGGCAGTGAATGGTAGTGGCAGGGGGGGGGGGGGGGGGGGTGGTGGGGGGGGGGGGGGGGTGGTGGTGGCGGAAGACGGTGGTGGAAAATGGTGGCAAGTGGTGGCTAGTGTTGGGTGGTAAAAAAAAAAAAAAAATAAAAACTAAAAACGGAAACACATTTTTTGTGTTTTTATTTTTTGGCCAAATTTATAAACTGAGACCATTGATTTATAAATCAAAAATTTTACCAAACAAATTTTTATTTGAGTTTTTTAATTTTTTGTAAATATAAAGAGAAAACTGAAAACGTAAGTATTACCAAACGATACCTAAGTAAATATAAAATTTTATAATTAGTTTACGGTAGGGTTACGTGGTGTTTCTAAATTAAGTACTTTTTCTATTACAAAATATTGTGTTTGGTTTAAGTTTTTTGAATTAATTTTTTTAAAAATTGAGTTTTTTTATTTTCGTGTTTTTTTGTTTTTAATGAATATTTTTAAAATTTTAAACACTTTTTTTACTTTTTTAGATGCACCTTACTTAGATGTATCTAAAAAGTAAAAAATTTGCGAAAAAATATTTTTAAAAATTAATAAATAGATAAAAATATAAAAAAATGTACCGAATTCTCGTATTTTTTTTATATTTTTGGTATTTAGTGAATTTTTAAAAGGTTTTTTTTTTTCAATTTTTTTTTACTTTTTAAGTATATTTATGTTAGGTATATCTAAAAATTAAAAAAATTGCTCAAAATATTAAAAAAATTTAGTAAAAATAAAAAAAATACGAAAAATAAGAAAATAGAATTTTCCGAAAAATATTTTTGAAAAGTGGTAACCAAGCATAGTGATTAATTTTTTATTTTATTTTTTGTTATTTCAAAATATTAATTTTTTTTTTAAATTCAAGAAATAAAATGATGTGAATTTATTATTTTGTCTTTCTTTTAAATTTATTAATAATATAAAAATTACAATTATGATAATTAATATTTCTAAAAAAATATTCTGTTAAAGAGTAATTTTAAAAAATTAATATTTTTAAAATGCAATGACTGTACTAAAAAAAGTTGAATTCCTTAAAAGTGATTATTGTTTTAGGATAGAGAGAGTAACAATTTTTCTTAATTTGGAGCGTGTTTAGAAAGCGTTTAGGGTTTAAAAAGTCAAAAAGGCACAATGAAAAAATCAAATATATATTTATATTTTTTTAAAAAGAAATTAAAAATTAACTAAAATAATTACTGTGGAAAAAATTAGTTTGTTTGTTTTCAAATATATATTGAAAAATTACATGTTAATATAGATTTAAAAATGATTTTTTATTGATAAATCTCATTTAGGGGTGTTCTAACTCAATAAGTTTATCAAAAAAATTTATAACCTATCTAATCTCATGTATTTATACATTTATTTCATAAAGTATTTTTTTCTTTACTTACATTACTTGTTAGACTCTTATCCTCTTATGTTTATTGTTCATATACATTACACACAAAAAGATATACACGTTGCCTTATTGACTACCAATCTGTTTTGGCAGTTTCCATGATTTACGAAGTTGGTTGTGATTTAGTTTCAATATCGTTGTGGATTGCTTCATTGTTTGTTGCTTCGTGATACACACATTTTTGTTAGGGTTTCACTGGTGTTTGAGAAAGACGAAGGGTCAAGATTGTGCTCTATTTTTACATAATTGTTGCAAAGTCATATATTGATTAGAGGAGAAAATGAGTAGTCGTCTTAGGCTTTGTGTTCTTCGTCCATTGTTAATCTATGTTCAAAGCTTTGTGTTTTTCCATTTTTGATGGTTAAAACTCTATTTGTATCCAATAGATTTGTTACAAACTTGTTATTGAAAAATCGGTTTGATTTGATTTGGATTGGTGGAATGGTGGAATTGCTTGGATTGTTAATGATAGTGATAATGATGAAGATGAGGATGTGGGTGATGATTTTTATTTTTAAAGATATTGAGGTTCTTTAGATTTTTAGTTTTATTAACAGTATCACATCATTATTTGTTAACAGTATCATTGGTTTTATTGCTTCATTCTAGTTTTATTAACAGTATCATTGGTTTTATTTTTTGTTAACAGTATCACATCATTATTTGTCATTTGCGTTGTCAATTAGTGTGAATGTTCACACTTTATATTGTTTGGAAGTCTGAGAAATGAGTGTTAGAATTGTGTGAAATGAGGTATTTGGTACAGTAATAGGGTTTTTTTTGTAAAGAGATGAGGTGGGTTTGCTTTGATTTGGTTTGGCATAATGGTGCAATTGCAGGAGGTACTGATAACAATGATAATGATGAAGATGAAGATAGGATGTGGGTGATGGTTTTTTATTTTTTAAGAGACTGAGATTTTTAAATTTATGATTCTATTGTTACCATTGATTTTAATTTTTTTGTTATTGGATTTCAATTTAGTAATATATATATATATATATATATTTGAGATTGGTAATGTGTCTGATATACAAATGATGTAAATGTTCATATAATTAATCAGTGTTAATATTCACATTAATTTGAAATGAAAAATTGTCATTGTATTGTCAATTAGTGTTAAATTTTTTCACATACTCATCTAAAATTGAATAGTAAATATATTTTCATTGTCTTCATTACCACTGTGACAAGGCGATGCTAAAGTTTACATTAGCATTGCATCAAATTATACAACTACAAGCCTCAACTTTCATTTTAAATACAAATATGATATAAATATTCACACTACAACAAACGAATGTGAAGGTTCACATCAATTCTAGAATATAGACAAGATGTTATGATTTCAAAGTGTTAATTACCATTATGTAATGGTTATATTAAAGCTCACATCAAAATTGCATTGTTCACAAATCATATTAAGTCTATGATTATGTGTACACAATTGTAAAACAACTGACAATAAAAATATAACCAACATTGCATTAACCACAAACTATTTTTTTTTCTTGTGTACACAAACATGAAATATACGTGCATTCATTATCAGATTATTGATATGAATGTTAACATCACAAATAAAACATCAAATAAATTAGTTTAGTCACATTACACTAATGATTATACGTATACAATTATAAAGCGACAAAAACCAATGTGAATACTAACATTGATTTTGTAATAGCAAACATTATGACAACATACTAGTGTATCTTATTAGGCACAATCAAAATAATTAATTCTAGTTCTTTTGTCCTATGTGTTCCAATATTTACAAAATCACAAAGAATATGAAGTTAATATCCATAGGTAGTGGATACATTGATTTTGTATGTCATGAGTTTTGTATTAGAGAAAACTATAATATTCACATCAATAATAGTTTTTGATGAGCTTGTATGCTTATAACACACGTATGATGACATTATCAAACTTCATATATTGGTTGATCATAGTATTCATCAATACATCAAATAATATCCAAAATGGAGTTTGTCTCAAGCAATCCAGCTGAGCCATTGAGAACTTGGTGCTCATCATCGGTTTCACTAAGCTAATAATGTTCGATCGGTAATTGACACAACGCGTGTTGATGTAGGTGTTTCTCTCTATAGGCATGCTCTTCTTTGACATGATACTCATTCCTCTTCTTTTTTGTGTGGAATTTAACTGCAACATTTGTTATAGGGACATGCCCAATAGTGAGTGTCTATATGAATATTAAAGTTGGTTTCAATAGAATTGTG